ATTGCTGAAGACGCTCTTGTATGATGATTAAGTTCTGATAACTTTATTAGCTCTTTTACCATGCCTTTTTCATACTCACTATATTTTTGCCACATCACTATCCTGAAATGGAATACTATAGATGTCAGGAGTTAGGATCAAATTTTTCACAGATATAGCTGTGCATGATTTTATCAAAAAAGCTAAACGTGGTGATATATCTATGGCCTGTTAACGATATTTTAAGGCCAATAATCCTAAGATGGGAAAGGAATTTAATCCATTCAAACCCACATCCTGGATATTATATGTAGACGCAACAAATCTTTATGGACATTTTATGAGTCAATATTTGCCTATCAGATATTATCAATGGGAAACTAGTCGAGAATATTTACTAAAAAATACAGCTATGCAGAAAAAATATTTCGAAAAGATTCTCATTACACGATTTAATATTAAACGAGGATATTTCTTAAATATTAATGCTCATTTCTCTCTAAAGACTCATGAATATTTAAAAGATTTACCTCTAGCTGTAGAAAATGTCATTGTAGAAAAGGATTGGTTATGTTCTTATCATGCTAAACTTGTAGAACAATTAGATGGTGGACGCTTCTCTGCCACAGAAAAATTAGTTTCCCATCTTGGATTATGAAAGAACTATGTTATTCATTACTTGTAGCTTCAATACTATGTAGAATTAGATATGGTTGTAGATGAAGTTTCAGAGATACTCTCCTTCGACCAGAATAACTGGCTTGAACTATATATATCTTTTAATATGCAGAAATGTAAAGAGGCCAAAAAAGCTGGAAATATATTCCTAAGTGACTTTTTCAAACTTATGAATGTATTAGTATATGGCAAGATTATGGAAAATGTTCGCAAGTATCAGGATGTCAAGATTATGAAGAATAATAATGAGCGAGATGAAAAAGCTTTCTTGAATAAGGTCGCATGCCATCTTTCAAGTATGGCAGACTGCTAGGATATATATTAGTAGGAGCGCATATGGGAAAGGCCAGTATGACTCTTAATAAGCTTATTATAGTCAAAGTATCTGTTTTGGGACTTAGCAAGCTTCACATGTATAAATTCTGGTATGGTTATTTAAAGGAAAAATATGGGATGATGTTGAACTTGGCTATATGGATACAGACTCTTACTTCTTCAAAACCAAGACTGAAGATATCTATAAAGATATGTCTGAGCGACCTGATCTCTTTAATCTTAATAAAAATCAAACAGTTGGCAAATATAATGACGAGACTCCTGGTAATGTGATTTCAATGTCTACACATATTCAGGCAAAATTATATCACTATGTCTTAGCTGATAAGTTCACGAATTCTAGATATAAAGGGGTTAGCAAAAAAGGTATAGATGAGATGGCTACAAATATATATATATGCCAACTTTAGAAGGATCATTTCTTAATGATCCAATAGATAAATCCTTATTATCAAAACAAGAAGCTAAAGATTTGACTATGCGAACTGGGGCAGATCCTATGACTTTAGTATATCTGGATTGTCTCTTTGGGAAGGAAGTATTCTATACCAAAAATGTAGGTATTCGATCAAAAAATCACATATTATCTCTAGTCGAGTCAGAGAAAAAAGCATTATGTTTCATAGATACTAAACGCTAGATCCTATCAGATAGGATAACTACTTTACTATATGGGCATTGGCATAATATGATTTATAAGAATATGGTCAAAGATGGTATCTCCCATGAAGTGGCTGAAAAAAAAGCTATAAGGCCAAGCTTCCAGAGAAATATCAAAATGAATGTGTATCTTACAAATTCAGCTCATCCCAATAGGCTACTAGTGAAAGAGTATTCTATATTTCCTATAGTCTCAATCAAAGGAGTATTATTATTATATATTTTTTTCTTGTATAATAAATATTTGATTATAGAATATCTCTATAACTAGTTTTCATACAAATAAAGATGATCCTGCTATCCAAAAAAAAATATACGTTCCAGTCATATGTTCGTAGTTATATCCTAAATTAGTCTATTTTGATCTTAGACCTTGCATGACTTGACACAAACCTGTCATTGATACTTTTTTTAACCAGTCATGACCCTTCATTGTCCCATCTATTAACCCATTACTACTCTTTATTGACTCATTATTACTCTTCATTGACCCTTCAATCCAGTATCTAGTTATTTTATGACACTTAAAAATATAAGGATACTGGAATTCCTTTTCTTAGTATTGACATGTCTGATCATCTAGTTTTTTTTTATGGGTTCTGATTCCTTCTTTCTATAGTAAAGACATTCCGCTGAGATTTGTGAACCGATAGAAGAATTGTAATAGTCTTTTCATTATATGTAACTTTAAATTCTTCTTTTATTGAAGGTTCCCATCCAGCTCGATATTGCTATTAAGTACCAAGAATTACTAAAGATTTAGTATTCCATTACGATCCTTTTCTGCAAGCATAACAGAAACATCATCTATAATATTAGCTGTATTATCTCCAAACCAATTGTAATGGAAACATCATCGATAGTGCCGATGGATATACATTGACTTGCAATTCCATTAAGCCTATGAATTTTTTTCCTATTAATTTTAATACCTAAAAGCTCTTTAACAAGTTCAGCAATATTATCTGAAAATATAGAAAAATCAGAGCCTGTATCAATCATTGTACAAGGTATTACCAAACTTTCTATTTTGCAATAAATAGTCAAGACATTATCGGCATTCTTTATTTGTAAAAAATTTATCTTTAAGGGCTTAGGCCAATATATTTGACTATTTTTTTTCAGCTAAATAACATTGTGAATATACTTAAATAGCATGGTTTAGAGTATTAGAACCTATTAATATTATATCATTCATAGGGTCATCTGGCTTCGATTCTATTGAAACTTGAATAAGAGGTTTTTGCTCTATATTTGTGACTTGGATTAGCAGATATAAAACATCTATAATTTTATTTGTTACATGCCTCATACTTTTCCCTTTTCATGATAGTATTATCTTTCATAGCCGTATTTAGAATCTGATCTTTCAATTAGGGTATATTGTATTAATATATTGAGAGCCTTCCTTAAGATCTTCTTTAGGAATATATTGAACAACTGATGATAATATAGATTTTAAGGCTATTAGAAAAACATAATCTACTATCATGGTTATAGATGCTAAGGATTCTGCTTTTTTACGAGATTTGGAAGTAGGGAATTCCTTCTTGTAAGTCTTTTTCATAGGTACTGCACTTCGTACCACTTTTTTTATAGCATAGCAGTTTCAATCAAAGGTGTTTAGAGTAGATCCATTATCATCAACATGTTCATCACTCTCTTCATTTTCCTTCTCAAATACGTATTCTATTACAGTCTCTTCGAGAACTTTCTCCTCAAGTATGTATTCTATTTCAGACTCTTCAGAATCTTCAGTAGATTCCCATGAGACTAGGTCTTTCTCAGCATTTTGGTATACATAATTAACCTTTTTAGTCTTCTTAACTCCAAGACAATTAATCTTTGTATGGCCATTCTTTATACAGACTGAGCAAAGACGAACAATTCATTTAACTGGTGCTTTTTGTATTACCTTTTAACAGCTTTCTTTGTAGCATTTGTATTTCTAACCTCTAGCTCGTAAAAGGGGCTCCTTCTAATATTAGATACTTTTTACCCTAACCTTTTACCAAGTTCATCATAGATATATGATTCTAAGGTTGAGATATCTATTGCTACACCTAAATAATTCAAATCCTTTGCAAGATGAACTATAAATTCATATTCAGCTTGCAAATCTTTTTGTATAGATGAATAAGATAGAGTTTCTTTATTGAAGAAGAAAATACCTACATGTTTACCAGCTTCTAATCATTTATCATTAAGTTGGATAAAAAAGGCATTTAGATCTACTGAATATCTGATTTTAATCTGTAATTCTAAATTTTCAGGTAAATGGCTATAAAAATAGGTAAAGTATCTGCAAATGGTAAAGCATCTACACGTGGTTTAATTCATTTTTCATATATTTTTAGAGTATCAATAGAGAGGAATTTATTAGTCATAAGCGCTTTCATAGAAGCTTGTGCTGAACCTAGTTTTACTGCACAATGTGTTTCTCAAAGCCATACTATAAATAATGCTGGAGTAGTAACTGCATTTCCTATACTATTATTAAATGGATTAGGAGAAGTAAATCTTCCTGCCATCTTTCCTGCTAATACATTAGTTTTCACACCATCATTAAAAACTGCTACTCCTAATGAATCATCATAATTAATCACTTGCATAACTTTATTATAATAGTCATCTGGTAGCTCTTGACCAACATATTGCGGTATTTGAGCTAAAAATAGGGCTATTGATTGTAAAACATCTGGTAGGGTAGCCATATTTCCTGGAGGACCATTTTTGATTTTGGTTAAATACCCAGGCTCTATTGAATTCTGCTAAGTCAGTTTCAGCTTTATGTCTTCAATTTATTAGTTGAAGACCTACCTTTTCTTGCAATAATATATAGTTACGCCTTTCTGCTTTCTGAATTCTAAGCCATGATACATGACACTCATTTTCTTCATATTTAGAGCTTGTGTTAGCATTTGATTATCATTTTGTAACCTAGCTTGAACTTCTTGCAATTGTTGCCCTAGAGTTCTGATTCGTTGAACACTTTGTTCTACTACTATATTCTGATCTTGCCAAAATTGACGAATTGTACCAGTATAAGTAATAATATTAGCCAAACATATGCTATCTCTATCAAATTGCCCTCTTATATCATCTGAAAGTATAACCACTGTATTATTCAAATGTATCTGAATTTTTGCTAAAGAAGCTAAAGCCTTAAATCACCTATATAAAATAGCTTGTATTGTATGCTCTATATCTAATATTTCTTTATTATTTGAAACTTTTTTATGACTTAGACCAGTTA